ATTCTTACTACCAGTAACAAGAAGCTCCTATTACCCGCTGTCCGACCTGCTGAGGCGCTGCAGCTGTGAGGCGCAAGACCTCCGGCCGCGCCACGGCTGGGAGCGCCTGGACGAAACCCTCCGCCATCTGCCCTGGCGCTGGAGACCCTGATTTTGGGAGAATGGTGATTTGTTTGAACAAAACGGAGCTCCCAAGGATCATGACTTGGACATGGTGCAGTCTCTTGGAGCTACTAGAAGCGTCCTTGCTCCTAGTAGCGATGCTTTGTTACTAGTAGCGATGCCCTTGCTACTAGTAGCTTCTGGTTCCTAGTAGTAATGTCAGGAGCTACTAGTAGCTTGTAGGAAAGTGCTTGCGCCTGGCTGCAGTTGCCTCAGTGCTGCCATCACCTGCGATTTGTCGGGGGTGAGTGCGTATGAGACCTGGCACCACCAGTGGCCATCTCTGACATGACGATGAGCATCATCGTCTCATGACTTCTCATACTGTACTGATGTATACTATATGTATACTGTATATACTGTATACTCTATACTTGATGATTCCCTACCATGCCCAGCTTGTCACTTGCTTTCTCAATCTCAATCAAAACCGGCAGACAATGGGACCCTTGCACCATTGCGCCAAAAATTAATGAGAAGAAGTACCCCCTAATTTACACGCTCTGGCTCCAACGCCTCCGAACGATTTAAGGGTGAAAGAACTTGACATCCCGCAGTGGGGAACAATCCGACAGCCGGCTACAGCGTGCAGCGTTGCCCGGCTGCGCCTGCTGGCCAGCCGCTGCAACAGGATTCGGAGCAATGAGGAGATGAAACTCCACCTGGACTGATCATGCAAATTCCAAATCTCAGAGCCAACCGGTTCTTCTTAATTCCCTTTCGGTGTTGAAGAAATATGACCATATTTTCTTCTGGAGCAGTCTTCCACCGCGAGCCCCTGATTCATTGTCTACAGGCAAGGCACGAGCCAGGCTGGAGGTTTCAACTCTGCCACGCTCTGAACCTAACATGCAAGTGCGCACTAAGATCCGAATTCGGGAGACTGGAGGCAATCTATAAGGACAGGAGCATGAAAGCAGCTTCCTTCAAAGAATAAAGCGTTCGAGACCCATAAAGACCAAATGACAGTGACTCGAAAATGCTCAAAAGCCATCCAAACTAAACATCTGCAGAATGAACAACCAACCCGCCGTCTGTGGAGCTCTGGAACGATTTCACTGAGGCCCAGGCTCTACGAGCCTGTCCAGAGGACGCCTCTTCCGCTCGTTTGCCAATGACTCGAACCGTCCTGAACGATCTGATGTCGTGACAGGGGCTCAATTCATCTCAAATTGCACTGAATTGGACAGCCACCTTTCTTGTTGCCTGAAATCTGAGTGGGACCTGTTCTACGTAGCTGGAACACAGGGGATGCGCAACTTGGCGATGAAAGAGTCCAAATCCTTGTTGACCCTAATGTTGACATGTGTTTGAATCCCTTGAAGCCGGCAACAGGGTGACTTGAGAACACAAATTAAAGGGTGACTTTAGACCACATTTCTAAGATCACTTTGGAACACTTTCAAGTGCCACAGTAGAACAAATGCACAAATTGCCTTCAACCACCAGCCAAACTTGTGGGAGGGCTGGGGGCGAGGGTGGCAACAGGCTGTGAGGAAGATGAACGGGGATGCAACCTTCGGACAATCTAATGGGTCGGTGAGTAAACTGTGATTCCCTTGAACCTTGAGGAATACGATAGACGACGGTCAGACCGTGATGTATAAAGTGTGCTATCACATCTCAAACAAGAAGGAGGTACACACAATAGGGGGTGGGGAAGAGGGTGGAGAATAGAAGACCATGCAATGAAACATGCCAACGGACGTCGAATCGACCACTAAAACCACGTTTGGAAGCGACCCTCTCGCCCTCCAAATCTGAGGGCTGAACGCTGGAGAGGTGGCCTGAACAGTTGGGCCGCCACACATTGTGTGGCCACGATGCAGGGTCACAAACCCGAACAAGTTCCGTTCCAGAAGAACCAAGTTGTTTTGAATCACTTGGCTAGCACACCCAATGATTTCTGAAACGCGCCCGTGTCATCGCCCATCATTGCAGTGAGCTACGGAGTCCTCTATCAACAACATTCAACAACCAACCCAAATGATTTGATTTCACATGCCAGCACTGCCGGAGCAGTTTCGGTCACCAGTCTTCTCACCGATTGTTCCATGGGCCCTTCAGAAAGCAGGGCCCACTCCTCGGTCAAGCAAATGAAAAAAACATGTTGATGAATTGTGCATTCTAAACGATGTTTCAATATCCAATCATGTCGAAAAGGCCAGTTGTGTATTACTGTGTGTTCGAATCAAACAATCATAAGTTTAAACAATTCCTGGCCATCAGTAAGTTTCAATCTTCCACCTCAACCAAAGCATGTTTGTACAGCTGACTTCAATCGAGTTCCATCCAAAAAATGTCGTATCAACATGTCTATGCCATGCAGGACAGTACGTCGGACTTACAAAACTTGGGCTTTGAATGGCTTTGGATTCTCAGGAAAGGTCCAGAGTCGATCCGGAACCGAACATTCGGAACCAAAAGTCAGCGAATATCAAGAACCGAAGTTTTTCAGGAACCGAATGTAAACAACCGTCAACCGAAACGAAAAACGAACCGTTCCGCTCTATTCCGAGGTCAAATAGCAAAGCGCTGTGTGAGGTTTTTCTCAGACTGTCCAAGAGTCCAAGGTCCTGGAGCTTCAGAGCAGCAGTCCCCCACTGGAATGCCCATACAGCATGTCACTGGCACGGCCCGGCTTTAGGCGCATTCATAAAATGCTGTCCTTTCCTTTTCCTTTTCTTTGATTTCCTTTCCAATACTGTATGCTTCTTCGACGGCATGGAAAAACATATTTACAAATTGCACTCCTACCTGTCCATTTCCATGTCCTTTTCCTTGCCTTTGCTTTCCACTTGTCCTTTCCTTTCCTTTCTTTGTCCTTTTCCTTTTCCTTTCCCATATGCTTTTTAGACTGCCTGGCTAAAAAGCAAATTCACAAATTGCATGCCTTACATGTCCTTTTCTTTTTCCTGTCCTTTGCTTCCTTCCTTTTCCATGTCTTTGTTTTCCTTTCCAATATGCTTTTTTGGAAGGCGTGGAAAAATGGAAAAAACATATTCACAATAGCAGTCCTTCCCCTTGCTGTTCCTTTTGTATTCCTTTTCTTTGCTTTCCGTTCCTTTTCTTTTCTTTCCTTAAAATAATTGCTTTGCTTTCCTTTCCTTTCCTTTTGCTTTCCCTTTTTCTCCTGTCCTGTCCTGTCTTGTCTATAGTCTATAGTCCTTTCTTTTCTTTACCCCACTGCGTAACTTATGCCTCACAGAACCGTGAACCGAACCGAAAGTCCATGAAAAAATACTTCTACAACCAAACCGAACCGATCCGACGTTTCAATTAAACAAACCTTACTGGCTTCTGCATGCCAGCAATGTGCAGAAGCAGCTTACGCACATTCATTTTTGCAAGCGCTACTGCAAAGTCAGGTGGATGAAGTTAACTTCTTGTCTTTGTGGTCAGCTTTCTGTTGGCATCTTCTTTCGCGCGCGCGGGTAGCTACAGCATGCTACTGCATTGTCGGCGGAAGGTGTCAGCGACTGATGATGGAATGTGGTTCCAGCAAAGCTGCGGCATGGCAGGGAGTTGCAATCACCCACGGAGATGTCAAACAAATTCACAAATCATTGGCATAGGGCATAGGGAATAGGGCACGGCTCCTGTCTTTCTTGCAGGATCTTGCAGGTCTAGCAAAGGCTTTGTAGGCAGCGGTTTGAGCAATCACTCAGATTCGCAAACGGCGCGTTCGCACAACCTTCTGCGGAGCTTACGCAGAGCCTACGTGTCGGAATGCTCATCTGGTAGGTTTTGCTCGTGCTAGCCACTAGCATGTCCAATGCAAATCCAAACCTTTACAGTAATATTACTGTCCAAAAAAACTACTAATCCCAAATAGAATTTGAACTTTGATGTGGAACCTCTAGAACCCTCCCCCACCTGCTTGAGGTGTTTGGAATCGAAAATACGACGAGACTATTTGGCAAATTGATCAGGTGCAGCAGCAGGTCGCTCTTTGGTCCCCAGCACAAATCCATTCACTGCCCCCAAGCTTGTTTCTTTCGACTCCACACTTCTCGGGATCCCGACGTCAAGGCTGTAGAAGTCTTGCAAGTCGCTGGAGGGCTCGAGCAAAGCGCTGAATGTCACCTAAATTATGCGTTTGGGTTCAGTCTGCAATCTGAGATTATATGCACTTCTCGCGTGGATGCCATGAGTGCTCCGAGTCCGCAGCTGCTGGCACCGTTGGTAAGCTGGCATTGGCTGACATCTGCGCTGGGTCACTGACCCGAAAGAAAACCACTCAGCTGGACTAAGCCAAGAGCCCGACCCAAGCACCATATAAACGCTGGACAATGACGCGCGAGTGATCCGAGACTGTCCGAATTCACCACTGGTCCATCCCTGGTTCACTGTTCATTGGCTTGTAACGGCTGAGGGCAGTTGTGTAGCATCCTGGATCTGGGTGACGGCAGGATTGCACATTCCTAAATCCCCGGCCTCTGGTGGAAGGCAAAGAGGGACCTGCCAAGCGATCAAATCATCTTGTTCATGTTGTTCACAAGTGCAACAAGTATGATTCAACCAGTCAAAATCATATATCAGCAGTGTGTCTGTTTGATGCGCAAATCTTGCACATATGGACTTCACCAATTTGTTCAACCAGCTTCATCATAGCCTCTACCCAACGCTCAGCTTCACAGCGGTACTGTCCCAATGGTTGCCTCATGGGAAACAAAAATATCCAAGAACTGTATCAAGGAAAACAGGGGCCATTTCCAATGAATGTACCTTATCATCATGCAGAAATGCGGCAGTGTCAGAAATAGAGACGAACTTTGCGGATGTCTGTATCAAATGTCGTGATCAAAACGCGCTTGGCACCCTTGAAATCCAACAAGCACCTAAGCAATCTCTTTGGAGAACCTATATAGCGTTGGGTCTTAGCGTGTCTCATGAATGTCGTGTGCCAGAGCTCGCTCAAGCATATGCAAACTCCAGAGGCCCAAGCCAGGGAGGAATGCACTCACCTGTGAGTGAACCCTCACTTGGTTTGGTAAACATCGCATGTGATCATATGAACTTGTCTATGTCTAAACATGTTTGAATAGCCGGGCCTTGGCAAGTTCCACCGGAAGGAAGTCCAAGGCAGGCCTAAAGCAAACAAGTTCCACCAGCTCACGGGAGGATCATTATCATTGTCAAATCAAAGGGCCAACGGAAGTGTACATATAGACGTATATATATATATATATATGTCGATTGACAGAGGTAGACTGGGTCCTACCCGACACGCGCGGGCGCATCTTTGTCCAAGCCGATGGTCCCTGCGGTACGCGCTCCTGTGCTCTTTTGACACCGGTACTATTCTAAAATGAAAAATGCTGGAAACCGGTGCTCGATGTCATCGATCGACCTCAACTCTGCTTGAACTGACGGGTCATGGAAGTGCGAGGGATCACCGGGCCCTGATTCATGCCACGCAAGGCCACCAATTCACATAGCTCTGACACTGAGGATCAGGGCTTGAGACCAGCTCCATGTATGTCATGTTGCTCTTTGCAAACTGACCGAACTGGATGAGCGATTTGCCCCACGTCAGGACATCAGTGATGCCCGCTAGGAACTCTGGCAGATCAGTCTTGCCCCCCGAGGTCAATACCTCCTCACGCAGCACATGGCTGGAAGCAAACTTGGCCTCCAGAGCAGCGAAAGTGTAGCCGCCGCCTTCCAAGGCATCGGCGTCCTCAAATTACAATGCACTTCGCTTTGTAAAAGGATTCTCAACAAAAACATCTTCACGCGGCCATCGCGCCACTGGCTTCCACAAAGGAAAACTCAGTGTCCGGTTCGGGCTTGCTGGATGAATCCTCAGTCACTTCAAGCTGGGCGAGGGAGAGACCTTGAGCACTAGCCTTGGCCAACAGCTCATTCTTTTGGATGGCTGCTTGCAACGGCATTCAGCAAGCTATGCCCAAGAGCTCACCTGACCTTGACACATTCCAACCAGGAGCATTCATGGAGCCAGATGGGCGGCGCGTGCAAGGGCAAATGTGCCACGTGCACCCATGAGTCGCATGATGCTTTGGAATCAGCCTTGAGGTCGAGGGACTATGTCTTGAAGCAGTTCGGCCTGAAGGCAGCACCGACATACAGCCATGTTGGTCAGGTCGTGTTTGACTCTGAAGCTGAGGCCCGAGAGAGCGAGAGGAGGACCCAAGCTCCTGTCGATTCCCGCGTGTTGCCGCCACCGCCGTGCCCAAAGAAACCACCACTCATTCGCCCTGCGGTAGTGAAGGCAAGCCCAGCAAAAGCATCAGCTCCCATGCCACAAGGGACACATACCATGTCTCACAGAGGACCAGGATCCGTGAGGCCAGCGTCACCAGATCCACCACTTGCTGCAGCAACACCAAAGGCACCAGCGCGCGAGGCACCAACACATGAAGAAGGTGAGAGAGTCGATACAATGAAGATGCTGAACTCCGTCGTCGTGACAAGGCCGAGACCTCCAGGCAGGCAGAACCAAGAGGTGAATCCGTGGCAACGAGCCAGCCTGATGCTGCGACACAGGCCTTGCTACAGACTGTTGAGTTGCTGACGCAGCAGGTGAAGCACATGCAGGACCGTGAGCATGAGAGGAGGCGATCACGTTCGAGGGATCGTCGCCGGAGGGAGCGATCAGATAGCCGGGAGTACTACCGTGGAAGGAGACGTGATGACAGCAGAGAGTACCGGCGTGGAAGGAGCAGGAGTTTGTCGCGGAGAAGGTCACCGTCATTTGGCCGCATTCCAACACCCCCAAAGCTGATCCCGAGAGAGCCGGAAGGACCGCCACCTAGATGGCATTACTATGGATCAGGTCGTGGAACCAGTCGAGACTCGGAACAGTCGGCTTGGCATGAACGTCGATATGTGTCTTCATCGGAGTGCCCAGGAGCATCGCATTTCCCGAGAGCCACAGGTTGTTTGTGGTCCTTGGCATTTCAAGACATGGCTCCTCACAAACAAGAACACGAACATGTACTGTCGGGACTGGCTTCTCGATTAGAGACAAGGCACTGCGTATGCAGACACGTCTTTCTATTGCAAAAACATGCACATGACAACTTCTCAGGAACAGACATGTCCGAAAAATGAAAACACACTGCAACAATGTACCCTCTTCATTTATCGCCGTGTGACTCCACACGAAAATCTTTCAAGTCTAATCCGAGCTTATCTTACCTAATTAGTGTGAACCACCTCACTTGATTCACCTGCATCGACTTGGCGTTTTTGGCGGCGGAGTTCTCTTTCCGCTGCTTGCTGTTCCAAAACATGAGTCTCTGGAGAAATCTGGTATGATCCTGATCGAACGCAGGCTCGCAAAAGGTCGACAGGATCAGCGCGGTCTTTGGTAAGACCGTCGGCTAACATGCGGTCTGTGGGCAACCAACGCACCACTCCTCCGGTCATGCGGAGAGACTCACGGATTATGACAACGTCGATGCTAGTTCTCCTATCTTCTACTGCGGTCGGAGAGGAAGGGGATATGAGATGGTCATATGAGGACTTGCAACAGCGATTGCATTTTGCCAGCAAAGACCTTTCTTGACATGGATCACAGGGTCCATCAAGAGCCTCACACAAAAGGAGACTCAACCACTCTACCGTCCCACTGGCAGTTGCCATGGCCTGGCTTTCACCGCCCAGAGTGGAACTCCCGGCGCGACTCATCTTATAGCTTCGCCAGACAACGGGAGTCCACGGGGTATACCTTGCCTTCAGTCATGGTTGCGTCAGTGAAGGCCAGAATGTAGCCTGCTTGGGTGTGGATGCCTACATTGGCGAAGGCAGCATCTGAGTGACAACAAATCGTCAATTGCTTAGGATCAATGACTTTGAAGGAAATGGTCAGATCGTTGTTTGCATCTCTCAAGTGACGAACACATGGTTTTGGAAAAGCTTGTTGTGACAAACTAGTCTGTACTGCTAAATCAGGCCTAGATTGTGAAGCTATCCAATTCAAGCTTCCGTTGATTGCTCGAAGCGCGCGAATTTGAGATTGAGAATCTTCACAGGCGGATGCGCGAGGGATTTGAGCGGGGGCGGAGTTTCTCAGCGAACAGTTTCTGGGACATATGGATTTCTAGGTTCTTGAACATAGTAGCTCCCGCAAAGTTCACCCTCAGCGACCCTCCACTTGCGATAGGGAAAACGAGCTCTCAGCTGTTTGACGGCGCTCTCAAACTGTGGGCCGATACCTCCCAAACACGTGTCATCAACATGAACTTCCAGGATTCCCTGAAGTTGGTTTGTTTCAGGGCTTCGGAGGTAGTACAAACATGGATCAAACTTGGACCTCAGTTGCAACCTTCCAATTCGCAGGGCTTCGTCATGAAAGGTGCGGTACCAGGCTAAAGGTGCGTCATTTTGACCATAAATGTTCCCCAGAACCTCAAGCGCCGCATCGGATGGCACCCCGGGGATTCCTCCGGGAGGTTGACGAGCATACAGGGGCTTGTACTTGCTATCTATAAAGGCCCAGCCTCCAAAAAGGCTCCTTTGATGTCTCCAAGTTGCAGTGTCCATCGATGCGAAGCAATCACTTGCATCAACAACATGCGGCCCATTTGACTCAGAGTTGGCGACTGGAGCAAACCGCGAGCGAAGGAGCTCAACGGCAAACTTCACAAACGTGCGGCAGATTCGCACCCGTCGCAAACGTTCAGCTGCGGACCATTTGCTTGCGTTGAGATGAAACCACCCACCCTCATTGGTACATGGGGGTGATGCAACAAGCAAATCCGGTGGATTATCCTGCAAGAAATCCTTGACATACTCTCCAGTGCCTTCTTTGAGGAAATCAAATCCAGTTTTCAAATCATATGATCTACAAGTACCTTCGACCTCTTCTACGAACGGGGCGAACCGTGGTGGATTGAACACTTCAGCAACCATAAAGCGTTTCCCATCTACCTTGGTTGAGGGTCTCTGGGCAGCTTCCTTCACTTGTGATGAGACTTGTCTCACCTGGTGCACACTCAGAGCTTCCATGGTCTGTGACCGTTCCTGAGGGCGAAACGTGAACTCGGTCTGAATGTGCAGGACATGTTCTGGCAGCTTGTGGGCATAATGCTTCTTACCTAGTTGTGGTTGTATGGACTCATCATGAAGAACGTCGCTCGAATCTCTGTCAATCACACGTCTACGAACTACTGAAGTCCAGGCAGGTCCCTGTTTACCTAGGTTTGGAATCTGGTTCACAAACGAGTCGTCCCTGGTCCAGACTTGCATAGATGTCGAGGGGCAGGCTGCCTAGAGAATCCAAAGCTCTGCTTTGGACATCGTTTCTCTAAACAAGGTCGCCAAGTGCGATATATATATAATGCTGTTGTTCAATTCTAAGGAGCATGCTGATGCGTGCTGCAATGGGTGACAGCGATGAGCGACGCAGAAGCGTCACAGTGAGGTCAGAAGCTGACTCGCCAGTGCGCTTGAGTGCAAGCACCCGGGCGCTTGGCGACAATGCCTCCAGTGACCATGGTTCTGACGACCCACATTTCCTGACTGCAGAGGACCGGCGGTTTGATTTTGTAATTTTGTTTGGCCAAAGATCCAATGTAGTGTCTTTAGAGTATGCTTCAATTGAGTGTCTCATGACATGAAGGCTGAATCGCATTGTGAGTTGAAGGACATTGTGAAGGCTGAGCAGTTCATCGCCACCTGGGATGATCCAGCAGACAACAATGACTCTTGGCTGGGCAAATTCTACTCAGAGCATGGGGATGGAAAGTCGCGTCCTGGAAGAAAGGATGAGAGGAACGGCGTCATCCAGGTATGGCTTCGTGACATCGCAGACTGCTTGCGCCAGGATTGAAAGATCAAGGAGTAGCTCGGTTAGAAACAGCGAACATTCAGGGTTTTGCCTAGAGCGGTTTTCGTGCAAATTGTTTAGCAATTTTTTGAACTAGGTCTAAGTCAGCGATGCGCGATGGGTTTGAGAATTTGAGAACGCCCCCCCAAAAAACACATCTAAGACAAGAACAGTTTTGAAGATGGTGTTACCTAGTCACAAGCATTCCAGGCACCCTTTGTTCGACAGCTACATGGACCACTGCTTGCGCGCATTGCAATTGTATGGTGAGCGCGCGTTCGCCACTTTGGCTTCT